CGCCCCCAGCTTGTGCTCGCATGTGCTCCCTTGCCCCACCCCACCCCCTATTTTCTTTCTTTCTACCATGCAGCCCTGGTGCGCCCCACCGACGTCGAGGTGTTCCGGCAGCAGCTGGAGGCGGCCGGCTGCGACGTGGCGGGCGTGCTGGCGGCGGCGGCGGCCGAGGAGGCCGGCGGCGCCGCGCGCCGCCGCCGCCACACCGCGCGCAGCAGCAGCCCCAAGCAGGCCGGCGCCGGCGCCGCGGGCAGCGTGCGCGCTCCGCTGCTGTCTGCCACCATGGCCGATCCCGGCAGCAGCGCAGACCTGTCGGCCAGCTCAGACGCAGCCGGCAGCAGCGTGGACGACGACGGCAGTGGCGGCGCCGCGCCTGGTCGCGCCGCCTCTGCCGCTCGCGGCTGGCCCTCCAGCAGCAGCAGCTACATGAGCGGGCCCGCGGTGCTGCAGGCGGGGCTGCTGGGGCTGGGCGATGATGATGATGATGAGGAGGAGGAGGGCGGGGTGTCGCGGCACCCCGCGGTCCCCGACTTTGCAGTGTATGTGGGATCCAGCAAGGAGCTGCACCGCGTGGCCTGGCACCAGGGCGTGCCCATCACACTGGAGGGTGAGCGGCGCGGGGGTGGATCTGGTGCTGCGGGCCGGCACGCCAGGCCTGGCGGGCGGGGTGGCGAGGGCGGTGTCAGGGCGGGGCGGCGGGAGGGGCTGAGGGCAGGGCGGGTGCATGCTGGGGAGGTCCAGGGTCCACACCACCAGCTGCCGCTGCTGGGCACCATAGCATACTCTGCGACCGTGCTGGGCCCGCTCACCCGCCCACGCGCCGCCGCGCCCGGCCCGCTCCCCGCGCAGGCTGGCACAGCTGCGTGGTCACGCTGGCTCCCATCGCCCGTTACGAGTTCGCCGCCTCCTCCTCCCCCGGCCTCGAGTTTGCCCCCATCGGGCTGGAGAACATGCTCAACGGCGGCGGCGCGGTGCGGGGCGTGCGCGCCGAGCGGGCGGGGCCCTCCAGCCGCACCTACATGACCATGAGCGGGGAGGAGGAGGAGGAGGGGCCCCAGCCGCCCGAGCAGCTGCTGGTGAGGGGGGTGGCAGGGTGCGGAGGGTTGGCGAGGGAGCGCCGGGGTGTGTGGAGGCGGCAGGCCGCGGCTGCGGGCGCGGCAGCTGCTGGCGAGGCCTGCCAGCGCTGGCGTGGCTGCCGCCGACGCCGTGCGTGGCTGCGTGGCGCCCCCCCTCCCGCTGCGTGCAGGTGCACCTCACCGTGCGCGGCCGAGGCACGCTGCTGGCCTACAGCAGCCACAAGCCGCAGGTGGGCACGGCAGCGGTGGGGCGGCAGCGGTGGGGGTCCCGCCCACGAGGTGGCTGCTCGAGTCTGACACCCCCAGCCCTTGGCCCGCACCAGCTGCGCCCAGCGCCCCGCCACGCCGCCCCATCCTGCCGCCGCTCATCCGCCCCCTCCTGCTCCTCCCAACCACCCGCCCCCTGCAGTCCTGCTGCGTGGACGGCTTTGAGGTGGCCTTTGAGCATGTGGGCGAGCGGCTGGCCGTGGAGGTGCCGCAAGTGGGCAGCCTTCATGCCGGCCGCTCCGAGCAGCACCTCGTCATCACCTACTGACCGCGCGCGCCGGCAGGAGCCGCTGGCGGCGCCGGAGGCTGCACCCGCTGCCCGGCGGGCATGCCGCGGGCGGCGCGTGCCGCCGGGCGCCGCCACGAGGCGCGCGCAGCACCTGCAATTTGTTCCAGGACCGAGTGGGAGAGCAGCGCGTGGGGCCTGCCAACGAGTGGACACCCTCTTCTTTTCCTTCCTGCCCCCTGTTTCCAGAGGCCGCGGGGCGCCGCCCATTCCTCCCGCCCCCTCCAATTTTCCGGACTGTTTTGCTCGAGCTGAAGGCGGGCCAACTTTCTGCGCCCGCCTCGTTTTCGGCGATTCCTTCTTTTCATTTGTCGCTGCCGGGCCTCTGCCTGTGCGGCGACGGGGGTGCCGGGATTTGCCGGCCCCTCTCATCCTCTTCTGCCCATGGCCCGCGCCGATTTTGCAGCCCTGCAATGCCTGGCTGCACCCAACAGTCGAGTCCCCATGCACATGCATGCCACATGCCCCACCCCACCCCCCTGCGCATGTGTGCCCGCAGCCCTCCCTCCATCACCTCCACCTGTTTCGCGGATTGATATTGGATCAACACGTCTTGTCCCATGCACACCTCACCCCGCAAATGTTGCTGCCCCAGCCCCCTTCCCAGGCCCTGCTTCCGTGCCTGCACACTGTACATCTGTCTTGACCGTGACATGCTGTACCCCCCCTGTAACTGTCTGTCTGTCTGTCAGCCAGGCGGCCATGTGGCGTGTGCCGGTGAGCCTTGCTATGCAGTAGTGGTCTGGTGGGCTTGCTGTGAAGTAGTGGTCTGGTGGGCTCCATCAGCTGTATTACAATGCTGGCACAGCCCGCAAAACTGGGATCAGAAGGGAGGCACGCAGTTCGCTGAAGTGATATAGATTAGCAGGGGCGACAGAGTGCGCTTCAGTCGCTGGCCTTGACCAGCAGCGGGCCCACCTGCAATCCAACAGCACTGGTGTGGGTGCGACAGAGCGGCATGCTGGGCTGATGCCCCCCTGGCCATCCCATTGTGCACGTCAGCAGGACCTGGCATCAGTTCCTGGCTGATCACCCGGCAGAAGGCAACACAAAACACAGCGTCCCACAACCCACATTGTCGCCGGTGGCCTTGTTGTGCGCCACGTGCGCGCCGTTGCAGAGCGGGAAGGTGGCGGAGCGCCAGCAGCGGCAGTAGGCCACCTGAGGCTTGCCTCCCAGGTCCTTGGGGCTCACCGAGTCCACCACCTTGTCCACATCCTGCAAGCCGAGCCAATCAGTTGGCAAGCAATGCTACTGAGCAGAGGTGGTGGGGAGGGCCACTGGGCGGCAAGGCGGTGGGCAGCAAGGCGGTGGGCCAGCGGCGGAGCTCGCCACCACATTTCGATCGGCCGCCTCCACCGTTTCTGATCTGACCTTCTTGATGGAGGGATTGATCTGCTCGCTGGAGGCTGCAGAGCAGACAAGTGAGGCGGGTGAGACCGAGAGCCCTAACTTCCCAGCCCCGTGTACAAGCTTCCGGCACTGCTGCGCAACTCACCCCGCACCACCAGAGACCGCCGGGCAGCGGAGGCGAGGCGGTGGTGGCTGGGTGCGACGGTAGCGGTCCGAGCGGCGCAAAGCATATTGCAGAGGGTTGCTGAAGAAGGGCAGAGAGAGGGATGGAAGAGAGATGGAAGAATGGGCGATCGCCTGTGGGGGCCCGCTTTTCTGCTGCACAGCTCACCGCCACTACGGCGGGGATCACCTAAAGGGCGGCCGCCTCTCCCCACACACCCTGCGAACCCATGCGCGTCATTACACTGCTGCGCCGCGGTACCCCAAGATTGCCAGCGGCAGCCAAGGGTGGGCTATGTGCTGCAGGCTCTGCCCGCTGCCGAGCACGGTGCGGTTTGTGAGGACCAGGGGCAGGCTGCGGCGGGGCAGCGGCACGGTGTAACGGCTGCGCATGAACTCTGCGAAAAAGGCCGGAGCCTTCTCGAACGCAACGCCTGCGACATGTGGCAGGTGCGGTCATGGTGGGCGACCAGCTGACGGCTCCAGCCCAGTCCAGCCCGTCTTCCGCTGCACCCCCACACACACCTGCGCATGTGTGCGTGCATCCGTACGGCACCACTCACCCGCAAACGCGGTCTGCTGCACCAGGAAGGCAGAGAGGTCGTGGTGCCAAGGGTAGGGCGGCTCCAGCCACTCCACAACCGCGCCCGCCCCGCTGGCGGCCGCAGCATGCAGCAGGACGCACGCCGAGCGGTGCTGCGGTGGCTGCGGGTGCTGGCGCTGCTGGTGCGGCGAGGGCGGGCCCGGCTGCCGCGCCAGCCGCAGCACCGCCAGCAGCAGCAGGCCCTCCTGGTCTCCCCAGCTGCACCCCAGCACCGGCGCCGCCGCATAGTCCAGCAGGGCAGCGGGCGGCAGCCCCTGCTGCTGCAGGGCGGCATAAATGCAGCTCTCCAAATCGAGCAGCTGCGGCGCCGCCGCCAGGCTGACCGCCGCCAAGGCCCCGCAGGCGCTGGCGCCGAGGCCGCACGCGCCGCTGCTGCATGCTCTGCTGAGTGGAGCAGCGCGGCTGCAGCTCACCAGTGCGTACTGAGCCTCCAGGCTGCTGCTGCTGCACTGCATGCCGCCGTCGTGCGCGCTCACCGCCTGCTGCTGCTGCCGGCGGCGGTGCTGAGGCCAAGGGGAGCCGCGCGGCGACGCAGACGCGCGCCGCTGCGCCGGCCAGCTGCTGCTGGTTGCAGGGACTTGGTGCCGCTGCTGCTGCTGCTGCTGCTGGTGCCCCCAGGGCCATGCGCCGGCCCCAGGGTGCGCCGCCGGCATGCGCTGCGCCGCGGGCGACATTGGTGGCGTGCTGCGGGGTGTGAGGTCGGGGGACGGGAATCTGCTGGAGCTGCTGTTGTCCTCCCCATCGTCCTCCTCCACATCCTCCTCGCTCTGTGCCTGGTGCCGGCCCCCTGCTGCTGCCGCCGCCGCCGCCGCCACCTGCAGCAGCGGCCCCCGCCGGATGACCGCCGCGTGCACATGCCGCACGCCGTCTGCCGCGTACAGCGCGATGGCCAGGCTACTGCCGCCGCCGCCAGGCTGCTGCGGCGCTGTGCCCTCCAGCGGAGACAGGAACTGGTACGGGTTGAAGGGGGCGTGCGGGTAGGTGGTGTGGTAAGACAGGTGCGCCACCTGCGGCACGCACCACCACCAGTGGGGCTTGAAGTATGCCCCAAAACTGGCAGCTCAAAACTGGGAGGTTTGGGGCTACCTTAAAGATAGTGCGGCAAGCAGCCAGACAGGCGCGGCACCGGGTGCTGCCGCCAGGGGCGCGCCCACGCGTGGCGGCCGCTCGTGCGTGCCCCACCACACACGCACCTGCAGCTGGGCTGCGCCGGCGTGCAGGGGCCCTGGCAGGATGGAGAGGTAGTTGGTGAGGTGGTGGTCGCGGCTGGCGGCGTCAGCGGGGTCGGCAGACCGCCCGTGCACCACTGCACGCAGCAGACCCCGGGGAGCAGCAGGCGGGGCTGAGGCGGGCACCTGCGTGGTGCCGTGGTGGCGCTGCAGGGGCACAGCTGCGTCCCGGCCGGGCTGCGCCCTGGGCGGGGCGACCAGGCGGCTCACACAGCAGGCCACCGTCGGGCGCCTCTGCCACGGTGAGCAGCATGTCGTCAGCCACCATAAACTCCTCCTCCTCAGCCAGGGAATCCAGGTACGGCTGCGTCCTGCAGCCACAGGCCGGCGTCGGTGGCACAGGGCGAGGCGAGGCCGGCTGCGGCTGGGTTCTGCGCGGCGCACGGCACCTCACCGAAACAGCGGCACACTCCACAGCCTGGCGCAGCGTGCCCCGGGCTGGAACCGCCACAGCTGCAGGCAGTAGCCGTCCTGGGCGTCGGCGGCGGCCACGGGCTGCGTGGTGTAGGAGATCAGGTGGCTGCCGTCGCGAGTGAAGCCCAGCAGCACGACGCCTGCATACGGGTTGGGCGGGCAGCGGGGGTGGGTAGTTGGGCGGGCAGCGCCGCGGGCACCCGCAGTGCCCTGGCGCAACAGGCTGCCTGCAGGCTTGCTTGCAGCCAGACCCCGGCCCTCACTCTTCAGGTCTCCAGCCTCATCAACCAGGCCTTCGATAGGCAAGAGCCCCGAAGGAGGCACGGCGGTAAACGGCGGCGCACCGAACCGCCCCTCCCGCTGCAGCTGCTCCAGCTTGCGCGGCAGCGACTGCTGTCGTCGGTGCGGCTGGGCGGGCTGCTGCCCCGCCATTGCCGCACCGCGGGGGACACGGGGCCCGAGTTTGCAGCAGAGCAGCGAGCTGTCGTGCTGCACCCAGCTCCCTCAGCAGCAACACAGTGCAGAACGGCCGGCTGCAAATCTACATTGAGCTCGGGAGAGGATAGCCTTCGCATTTGTACAGCCCCTGTGGCGCGCTGCGCCGCTGGCGCCAGCGACGAGCAGCCCAAAAATGCCGCCCCTGCTCTGTCGCCGGCACGTCATTCACGCATTTTATCACGCCTGGGACTCCATCCAAGCCGCTCGCCCGGCGGGTCAGCGGGTCAACTCAACATGTCCGCCGCGCCGCCGACGCGCCGCAAGTCGTCGCCGCTGCAGAGCCAGCAGGGGGCCCTGTCCTGGCAGCAGGTGCACGTGGCGATAGTGGCCCTGGGGGAGCCCGCCGCCCGGGAGCAGCTGGAGATGCTGCACGGCCTGCTGGAGCGGTTTGTGGCTGAGAACGACTGCCCCCGAGACTCCCCCCACCTGCGCGCCACCGGCCCAGACCGGCTCGACCCGCTGGCCGCGCTGCTGGCGCGGCCCGACGTGGCTGCCGCCTCCCCTGCCGCCCGTCTGCTGGCGCTGCGGGCGCTCAAGATCCTGGCGCGGCGCGGCGACGTGCGCCTGCGCTGCACCCAGCACGTGCTGAACGTGGTGGCGCCGCTGCTCGACGCGGCGGCAGGCGCCCCGCTGGAGCTGGAGCTGGCCAGCGAGGCAGCCAACGCACTCAGCAACCTGTGCTATGAGCCCATCAACTGCACCGGCCTGCTCAAGGCGGGGGGCGTGCCGCGGCTGCTCAAGCTGCTGTGCCTGGAGTCAGGCGGCGGCGAGGCGCGGGCCAACGCGGCAGGCGCGCTGCAGACGCTGTGCCTCCAGCCCGATGCAAGGGCGGCGGTGCTCCAGGCGGGCGGCCCCGCCAGGCTGCTGCACGCCCTGGCAGGCGCCGGCAGCAGCGGCAGCGCCAACGCCGCCGGCGACGCCCAGGCCAGGCTGCAGCAGCGGCTGGCGGGCGCGCTGCACAACCTGTCCAGCGAAGCGGGGGGCGTCGCCGCCTTGCGCCAGCAGGGCGGCATCCCGCCCGTGGTGGGCCTGCTGGCCTCGCCCCACCCGGGCGTGGCGGCGGCGGCAGCAGGCGCCCTGCAGAACATGTCTCGCGAGGCACAGGCGCGGGCCGACATCCGCGCACACCCCGACGCCCTGCCCGGCCTGGTGATGCTGCTCACCGGCGCCGACACGCAGGTGGGGCGCATGGCAGGGGCGCCAGCTGTCACCAGCAGCTGGCACCTGCACACTCACAGTTCCCCGCAGCTGTCGCTCGAGGCAGACCAACCCCGTGCCCCACACCCCTGCTCCCTGTTATGTGCAGGCGGCGGTGTGCGCTGCCGGCACGCTGGCCAACCTGGCAGAGGAGGGGTGCAGCAGCGCCGCGCGGCAGGTGCTGACGCAAGCGCTGGCGGGGGCGCTGGCGGGCGGGGCCATCTATCACAGTTTAGGGGACGGAGCGATTGGCACACAGGGCGGCACCTGACAGCACAGGGGCAGAAGAATGGCAGACCTGTAGCGGCGAGTACCATGCCGAGTCGAGAAAAGAATGTAATGCTGATCAGCAGGCGAGCAGAAAAGGTAGGGTGTGCAGGCAGAGGCTGGACAGACACAAGGGGAAGTGTGAGGGGTGCGCTGGAGTGATGTGTTCCTGGACGGGAAGGGAAAACTGGACAGACTGGAAAGGTGCGGTGTGGGGCAGGCAGCCGGAGAGTGCAGCAGGCATGGACCAAGCTAGCAAGTAGAACGGGACCCAGAGCACAGACAGAAGCGGAACAGGCAGCAACAACAAAGAAACGATCGTCTGAGAAAGAAAACGGTGGGAGGTCTAGTAAGGGGTGCAGAAGCAGGGAACTCGGTGGGCAAGGCCTCAGCTCAAATTTTCAAGTGCTGGCCAGAAGAGCAGCAAGGGATCAGGATGTGTGGGTGCCTCATGTGTTATTCAGGTATCAATGAAGCGAGACATAGCGGCAGCGCGGGGGCCCTCAGGCCCAGGCTGCATCTCGAGATGGGCTCATGAATTGAGCTCAGCGGCGCGCCGCCGCGGCGCCGTGCCTGCTGCTGCTGCCGCCTGCTCCCGTTTGGACTGCCGGTAGGGGAGGTCCCGCAGGATGGACAGCAAACTCTCGCGCTTGTGCTGCTGGCAGCAGGCCCACAACTGCAGGCAAGACGCGGCAGGCGCAGCAGGCGTGAGCACGTCCCGCACAACAGCAGCCGGGAAGTCCTGGCAGCAGCCCCAGCCACTGACCTGGGGAGCATCTGGCAAGGTCTTGGTGAAGCACTCTGCGGCAAGGGGCAGAGGGTGGCAAGAGGTAATGAGCAGGTTGCTGGAAGTAGGGGGGCCAGGCGCTGCAGCTATGCTGGTCCTCGGGGCGCTGAGGCGGTGGCGGCTGCCCTCAGACAGGACCAGCTCGCACGTGCCCCAAGTCCCAGCGCCGTCGCGCCAGCTCCTTCTGCTCCCCGTGGGGCGCCACCCACGCTAACCTGCTGCAGTGAACGTGATGCCGCCCCCCGAGCTGCCAACGACACCGCAGCTCGGCGCTGCGCAGACTCGAGGTATCGAAACGCCCATGCTGGACAGCGGGGTGGCGGCTGGGGAGGGAGGTGTGAGGGACGAGGGTGGAAGCCCTTTACAGGAGAAGCAGCGCCACGGCGCTGCAACACTTCCAAAGGCGATTCGCCAAGCCGAGGGCAGGAGTTGGCACCTGCCCGCTGCATATGCGCTCACTCCACCTGGCTGCGCCAGCCCAGCGCGCTGTCCCGACACGTCCATGTACATGCACCACTTTGGGTTTCACCAAATATACAGCCATGTGAGGTCTTGACAAGGTTCCCGAGTCCTCAGTAGACAACAGTGGTTTGTCATCAACTCAAAGATGCACACTCAGAGCTCGGTAGCGTCGTGGCCCCCGCCTGCCGCCGCCGCCGCCGCCCGCGCCCGCACCCGGGCAGCCAGCTGCACCACCTCCAGCAAAAAATCGCCGCCATCCTCGTCCGCCGCCGCCGCCGCCGCTCGCAGGCCGGACTGCAGGCGCACCAGCACGGCGTCGCCGCCCGACTGGGTAAACGCCGCCGCCGCCGCCGAACCACCCTGGGTGTCGAGCAGCGCCATCAAGGCCAGCAGCGCTTTCTCCTGCATGTCGAAATCCGGGGCCGCATCCGCATCCTCCCGCCCCGCATCCAGCAGCTGCAGCGCCGCCGAAACTGCCGCTGGGTAGTCCAGGCCCGCGGCGGGCCGCGCCTGCTGCTGGGCTCCCGCGGTGGCAGGCGCGTCGGCGCCGCCGCCGCCGCCTGCCACAGCGCCCACGTCCCCCGCATCCAGCTGCACCAGGTCTGTGAGCAGCCCCAGTGCCTTGCGCTTCAGCCGCACGCCTGCGCCCCGGCTGCCCAGCAGCTGCTGCAGCGCCCGCACGCCCGCGGCCCGGTAGAAGGCGCCGCGGGCTGCGCCGCTGAGCCGCAGGATGGCGCTCAGGCAGTACAGGGCCTTGGCGCCCGCCTCCGCCGCCTCTGCCGCCTGCTGGCCGGCGGCGCCGGCGCTGCCAGCGCTGGCGCTGCCGGCCGCCAGCAGGCGGAGGAGCAGTGTGAGCACCTCTGGGTGCGCCTGCAGCAGCTGGGCGTGGAACTCGTGGTTGTTGGAGGCGGCCGTGCCCAGCAGGTGTGCTGCACGCGCCTGCAGGGCCGCGGGCTGCGCCGACGACAGCAGCGCCACCACCGGCGCCAGGCCGCCCATGCCGTGAAGGTCTGCAGGACAGCGGGGTGCAGGGTGCGGGAGGGACGGGGCAGGGCGAGGGCAAGGGAGAGGCGAGGGGGACGCCGCGGCGCAGGTCTGCCACAAGTCGTTGTGCGCTCCCCACCACCACACCCACCACCACCACCACCACCACTCACTGTTGGCTGCGTCGATGGGCTCCACCAGGAGGCGCAGAGCCTCCAGCGCATTGCCCAGCTGCTGGTGGGTGGCTGAGGAGTTGCTGAGCATGGCTACAGCCTCCTGCAGCACGGGAAGCGAAGCAGCAGGGATGGAGCGGTGGGCTGTAGCTGGCAGCGGGGCAGGCGATGGTGGCTGAACACCAGCGGTGCCAGGAGCCACCTGCCCGCTTGGTGCAGGCTGGCGCCAGGCGCAGCAAGGCAATCCCTGTCGTGCAAATGCAGGCGGGAGCAGCTGGCTGCGTGCAGGCACTGTGTTTGCGGCGGGGGCAGCAGGCGCGCCTGCATCAGCTCCGCCTCGCTGGGCTCGCCCCTCATCGCCTCCAGCAGCTGCTGCACGCGGCGCTGGCGCTCCAGAAAGTCGGGGCTCCCCTCCTCGGCGCCGCGCCGCGCCTCTGCCGCCGCACGGCGCAGCTCGTCTGGGTCGCTGTGGGCTGCACACAACAGGGCAGGCAGGGCGGCCAGGGTGAGCTGGCGGCTACTTGCAACCCTGCGGGACCGGATGAAGGGCGGGTCGGCGATTTGGGGAAGCGGCGGGGCGAGCACCGGCGGCAGGGATGATGGGCTAGTTCACTAACTTGTGCGGGGTGCAGGGCGGCGGCTCACCCAGGGCCCACTTCAACAAATCCTCCTGGCTCCCCGCCACCGGCTCCGCCGTCAGCGTGTGCACCGCCGCCTCGCCGCTGCTGTCATTGCCGGGGGAGGCCACCGATGTGCTGGACAGGGCCAGCGCTGCCACGGCCAACAGAAACAGAGGCTTCCCCACTGGACTCTGCCCGGGCATTGTGTTGCAATATTCGAGAAGCGAGCCAAGTTCGTTGCCGCTGCGGGGACGGGGTACACAGGGCGTCAGAAGCGTGTTGCAATGCAGCAAGGCGGGCTCCAGTCTTCCCAGGACACGCAGGCCAGGACAGGTCTGTACAGCGGCCCACACTTCCAGAATGGCTCTGGGAGACGCCTCTGGGATCGCACCTGGCCCATCCTGTGGGCCATGAGGCTCCTCGTGAGGTCGCTGGACAGCCCTGTGCCGCAGACGGTGCAGGCGGACCCAGAAGGGAGCCTCAGCGACCTCTTGGAAGTGCTCGCCAGCGGCACCAAGTTACCAGAGGGCTTCAGAGAGCGGCCCAGGCTGGTGCGCGGCACGGGATGGCACCAAAGGCCCCGCACCGGTCAGCAGCGGCCGGGCGGCCACCTGGGCCCCCCCGCCGGTTGCCGCGTCTCACCGCTGCCGGGCCCCTGCTCCTCCTCTTTCTCACCTGCAGGTGTACCATGGCCGTGTGCTGCGGGACAGCGGCGCCAAGCTGCGGGACGTTTGCAGCGAGGGCGATGTGCTGGTGCTGCTGGCGGGGCGGCACGTGACGCCACCCCCGTCCGCTCCCGCGCAGCCCCCCAAGGCAGGCTGCTGGCGCTGCCCCGCGTGCCCGGATTCGACTCGCTTGCAGCTGGTGGCTGGCTTTTCACGCAAGCGTCAGCCCGGCTGGCTGGAACAGTTGATAGCTGCCGGCCCGGCCCCTCTCTCGTCTTGGCACCAGACGTTGCCGCCTACAGAGCCCCGCCATGCCTGTGCCGCCTGCCCCCACCCCGCTGCAGGGCCCCAGCCTGCGCGACATCAACGCCGCCATTCGCGAGGATCTGTCCCGCCTGGGGCCTGGCCAGCTGGCCGCGGCCGAGGCGGCGGCGCGGCGGCAGGCGCGGCAGGCGCGGCGCGCGCAGGGCCCCCCCTCCGACATGGCGGAGCTGCTCAGCCAGGCGCTCGTGTCTGGCGAGGTGTCGGCACTGAGGTCCTACCTGGAGCAGCTGCAAGCGGCGCTGCGGGCGGCGGGCGGCGGCGGCGGCGCGGGGCCGGGCGGCGGCGACGCGGCGCTGCCCGCGGCCGCCGCGCTGGAAGCCCTGTTTGGCCTGGCTGGCCAGCAGCCCGGCGGCGGCGGCGAGGGCGCGGCCGCGGCGCTGGGCCAGGAGGTGCACGCTGAGGGTGAGGCGGGCGGGAGGCGTGGGGAGGGAGCGTGGAAGCCGCCGGTGCCGCCGCAGCATATGCTCTCAGTGTCGCCCAGCCCATCATCTGCTTGCTGTTTTGTGTGCCCGCCACACCTGACCACCCCTCTCCTGCTGCTGCTGGTGCTGCTGCCTCCCGCGTGGCCTGGCAGGCCTTGATGAGCTGGAGGCGGAGGAGGAGGGCGAGTTCTCTCACACCGAGGAGGAGGGGAGCGAGGCGGAGGAGGATAGCGAGGAAGATGGGGAGGGGCATAGCGAGGAGGGGGAGGAGGAGGAGGAGGAGGGGAGCGAGGAGGAGGGGGAGCATCAGCTGGGCGCTGACGGCCAGCTGCTACCGCCGCAGGTGAGCGCCGGCTGGAAGCAGCCGGCGCTGCACGGCTGCCCGCTGGCAGCCGCTG